TTTTTTTCGCGTCAGAGAAGAGCAACGCAGCCGCCAGATCTTCGGAAGTCGGAGGTGTTGGGCGCGACAGCTACGGCCAAGCAAGGGAGCTCGAGCTCAGGGCAACACCAACTGACCACTCGTTGCACCCTCCTGCCTCCATCACCACGCACACACTCTCACAGATCGGCGCTCACAGCTCAGCGCTCATAGCTCGGCGCAGGTGGTCACGATGGCAAGCGCACTCCACCAGCAGGAGCTCGCACCGGGCGGTTGCACCCATGCTGTCTTCCTCAACCTCCACTACCACTCGGCCGCCCCCTCCAGGCACCAATCCTCCTTCCTCCACCGCGGCCGTCTTCGCACCCAGCTCGTCACCGCCCGCGACGACCTCCTCACCATCTACGATGTCTACGACCGCAGCTCTTCTCAGTCCGCTGCCAGCACCAGCAACGGCACTGCCAATGGGACCACAGTCGACGCCAAGCCGAGGCATACGCTCGTAGTCGCCCGCCAACATAGCCTCTTTGGCACGGTCACAGGCTTGCAGCGCGTAGATACGCTCGCGAGCGACAAGGACGCAAGACACCGTCTGCTCGTCTCGTTCGCCGATGCAAAGCTCGCTCTGCTCGAGTGGAACGACACCACCGACGACCTCGAGACCGTCTCGATCCACACGTACGAGCGAGCCACCCAGCTGCTCAACGGTACCCCGCCGCTCTTCCGCCCCAACCTCAACGTCGACCCGCTCTCCAGGTGTGCAGCGCTGCTCCTCCCGCACGACGCCCTCGCCATCCTGCCCTTCTACCGCGACAATGCCGAATTCGACTTCGACGACGGCCTCGGCCTCGACCTCGCCAACGACGCTCTCGACGCTTCGGACGCCGCGGCCATGGCGGCGGCTGCACACATGGAGAGCTTGCCATACTCGCCCTCGTTCGTACTCACCATGCGCGAGGTCGACCCAAAGATCCGCAACCTCAAGGACTTTTGCTTCCTGCCCGGCTTCCAGAAGCCCACGGTGGCGGTGCTGTTCGACCACTCGCCGACCTGGACGGGGCTGCTGACGCACCGCAAGGACTCGTTCGCAGTCTACCTCTTTACGCTCGACCTCTCGGCGTCGCTCGATGGCGCCACGCTCGGATCGGCCGCGGCGCTGCTCGACGACGGCAACATGCGTTCGGCCCATCCCGTCGTCACCACCAGCTCGCAGCTGCCCTACGACTGCCTCTACATGCTCCCCTGCCCACAATCCCTTGGAGGCGTGCTTGTCGTATGCATGTCCGCCATTCTTCA